CCACATTTCTTAGTACCAGATTCTAAAATTATCTGTTGGGGTGCCTGAGTGGGTCAGTTGGTTAAGCGACTGCCTTTGGCTCAGGTCATGATCGTGGAGTCCTGGGATCAAGTCCCCAATCAGGCTCCCTGCTTCTCCCTCTGACACTCCCCTTCTCGTGCTCTCTCTCTCATTCTCTTTCTCTCAAATAAATAAATAAAATCTTAAAAAAAACCTCTTCCTTTAAAAAGTAAAATAATCTGTTGACTTGTCTATCTTCTCCAATAGACCCTGAGCTCCTCAAAACAGAAACTAGCACACTGTGGATGCTCAGTAATATTAAACTGAACCAAACTAACGGTTTCCTTTTTATGAAACAAAAATTATTGCAAAATAAGCATAAAAACTTCAAGTTCTGAGCAAAACTTGGTTACTGAATCAGAGTAAGTACGCCATTAATAAATCTACCTACCAACCAACTTCTTGTTAATATATATGAATTTCATATTCATGAGCATAATTTTGCCACAAAGTTATCAATATCTAAAGTCATTTTTGCTGAAATCTAAACACTGGATAAGTGGGTCTTAAATGTATAGAGAAAAGATCCATGGATGACCTAAACTAATCTATATGTCAGGATGTTGGTTCCCCTTGGGAGAGAATGGATAATGGCTGGAAGGAAGTATAAGGAAGGCTTCTGAAATACCAGAAACATCCTATATTCTGATTTAGGTGCTGGTTACCCAGGTGTGTTCAGTTTCTAAAAATGCATTAAGCTGTACAATTACGATATGTTCATTTTTCTCTATATATATATTATACTGAAATTAAAAGTGTTTTGGGGCGCCTGGGTGGCTCAGTCAGTTAACCATCCAACTCTTAATTTCAGCTAAGGTAAGATCTTAGACTAAAGTCAAAGGTAATTTATTTTTCACAAATCAACATTTATTACATCTGAAACTAAATTTTTTTTTTAAGATTTATGTATTTGAGGGGCACCTGGGCGGCTCAGTGTGTTAAAGCCTCTGCCTTCGGCTGGAGTCGTGATCCCAGGGTGCTGGGATCAAGGCCCACATCAGGCTCTCTGCTCCAAGGGGAGCCTGCTTCCTCCTCTCTGTCTGCCTCTCTGCCTACTTGTGATCTCTGTCTGTCAAATAAATAAATAAATAAATCTTTAAAAAAAAAAAAAAGTTTTTTTTAAAAGTGTTTTACAATCAACAAATGTAAAATAATTTGTCTACTCCACTCAAAAAAAAGGAAAAAAAATAAATTAAATAAGAAAAAAAATTACTAAACCACTGTTACATTCATTTAGAAATTTTTGTCTTACAGGTGCCTAGGTGGGTCAGTCGTTGAGAGTCTGCCTTCGGCTCAGGTCATGAACCCAGGGTCCTGGGATTGAGCCCCACATCAGGCTCCCTGCTCAACAGGGAAGCCTGCTTCCCCTCTCCCACTCTGCCTGCTTGTGTTCCCTCTCTCACTGTATCTTTCCCTGTAAAATAAATAAATTTTAAAAATAAAAATTTTTTTTTCATCCTAGTCCTAATGTACTTTGGGATATTTATCTTTTCTCCTGAGTAAAAAAACATTCTTGCCAGGTCAAAATAGTCAACAATAGAAATAATAATAATTTTTAATAATAATAATTAACAATTTTTTAAATTTTGGAGGAAAACAAGAAAATCACATTTAAATATATGTAATTTTATACAAAGAAGGAATGAAAAAATATAACAAAACCCCCAGTTTTGTACACCTAATTTTCCAAAATACAATCTGTCAACATTTGGTTCATAAAAGTGCATACTTAAATGGAGGTTAAGTATAAGAACCCTAAGCTACCTGATCTGTTGTTTCTATGCACTAGGACAACTGATGTAACAGGACCATGTTTATAACTTGGAGAATTCAGACAGGCTAATCATTTAATGGGTGCTATCTTTGAAGAGGAAAAGCAAATAAACACTGGTATAAACCCAAAGTCTATTGCCTAACAATTAAAAAATGGGTGAACCTTGAAAACATGTTAAGTGAAAGAAACAAGCCACAAAGGAACATATATTGTATGATCCCATTTATGTGAAATGTGCGGAATAAACAGGTCATAGCCACAGAAAGTAGATTGGTATCTGTCAGAGCGTGAAGGAAGGGAGGAATGGGGAGTGACTATTACTGTGTATGGAGATTTTCTTTGGGATGATGAAAATATTCTAAAATTGACTGTGGTAGTGATGCCATAAATCGTGAATATATGAAAAACCACCCAATTTTCCCTTTTAAATAGGAAAGTTGTATTGCATGTGAATTCTATCTCAATAAAGCTGCTATTTTTTTTAAAACAAAAGATAATTCAAGTACATATGGGTCATAAAATAAATTTTTACTTTTGAATTATTTGGTCTGCTGTATTTGGTGGATGCTTTTCAACATGAAATGGCATCAAGTTTAAGAAACCACCTATCCTTTCTAGCATTTTTTTTTTCCTCAATGGGACAATATTTGAGTATTTGTGAGAGGGACAGAGAGATGAAACTGGAATAATTCAATAATTATTCGGAGTAATAGTAGGTCAGCCTAAATATTATATTGCAAAAGAATCAGCTGAAAAACTGGACACTTGTGATGATAGAGCGCTGGGAGGGATCAGGGAGTGTGCTGGCAACATGAATATTAGTCATCAAATAAGTAACTTCCTGGCCTTACCCGCTGAGATTTAGAACAAATGAACTCTTTATGTCAAAGGCCCTCTTCAGAAATTCCCACCTACCCACAGGGACATTTTATGAAGTTAACAATTCACTCTGATTGTAGCTCTATTAACACACAAGTTCCTGAGAACACACACACACACACACACAAATCCATAACTGCGCCCTAAAATGAAGGTAATTAGGTTGAGCTGAAATTCATGCAATTTTAAAACTGCATGAAAGCAAAATTTATCCAAACTCTACGAATATGCCATAGTGTGAAAACTGTACTTAGGATAATTGGTTAATAGATTAAAATTTTTAACAGAGTTGATAGGCTCTTTCTTGTATTTCAAAAATATTAGTAAAATGCTACAGCAGTTGCTTTTTCCTCAACAAAATGCGTCTCTACTTTAACGAAATCACAGCACACCCCTTTCTGGGACGAATAAACATTTTACTTCCGAGGCCCTGACAATCACCTACAAAAAATAAAAGTACCAACAGTCACGATTTTCTTTCGCAAAATTACTGAGACGAACTCCTGAACGCTAGAACTGCCCCTTCCTAATCAGGACATACAGCCCACAAAACCACAGCAAAGACGACCGCTGGTAACTCAACACAAGATAGCACGGGGTCCCCACAACACCAGAGCCTGTTGTGATCACCCGAATACAAAGCAGTCACGCAAAGTGGTCGAGCTCCCCCGGGGCTCAGGAAAGCACTGAGAAGCTGCCAACGGCCTCAGGTGGGCGGTAAACACAAGAAAACGCGCTGCCCACACCGTCCCACAGCCTGCACGTCTAGAAGCGGTATGGGGGCTTTCCTGAGACCCCCCCACCGGAACCGGAAAACCGGCCGTCTTCCCCTAACACCCTCCCCGGCCGGAAGTTGGAGGACCCAGCGGGCGCTCTCACCCTGGAAGAACAAGACGCCAAGCAGTGGGAACAGAGCGCAGCCACGGCCTCCAGCCGCTCCGCTCTGCTGCATCCCGACAGCTCTCTGGATGCTTGCACACCTTGTTTACGGCTCCCGGTAACCTCACAGGTGATACCGGAAGTGACGTCAGGGCGGGAGGCGCGAGAACACTTAAAATGGCGACTCGAAGTTGCCATAGCAACATGGCATCTTTCCAGAGCCACACCTGAACCTGCTCCGACCCGCGGTTTTTTTTTTTTTAAACCTTGAGTAGGAATCAACTATTCACTTTTGCTTGACAATGAAGTAATACACAGACTTTGTTAAAATAACAATTTATTTGTATGGAATTCTGTCGTATGAGTCTCATCCTCAGACTCTCCTCAGAAGTCATTTTTTACTCCCTACAGATTATTTTATTTGAACTATCTCAAAATAGGTTTCTATAAATTTAGACTTTGAAGAGACCTAGGCGATTATACAGGATCAGTCAACAAATAGGTATTAGGCCTTCGTGACCAATGTGTACGTCAAGTGTCTCTGGTTCGTGTTTTGTGTTTAGCTATCACAGCATCCAGCTCAGTACCTATGTAAATTGGGTATTTTTTTTAAAGATTTTATTTATTTATTTGACAGACAGAGATCACAAGTAGGCAGAGAGACAGGCAGGGAGAGAGGAGGAAGCAGGCTCCCTGCTGAGCAGAGAGCCCCATGCCGGGCTCTATCCCAGGACCCTGAGATCATGATCTGAGCCAAAGGCAGAGGCTTTAACCCACTGAGCCACCCAGGCACCCCTAAATTGGGTATTTTATTATTAAACTGCTGTTCGCGGTGGCAATGATGAAATGACTATAACATATAATAGAGGAAAAAAGGAATTCTTTTGGTGGGAAAAGTGAGAAAGTAATGTTTTTACAGTGCTGGGAGTGAAATGAAGTAATAGTGCCCCATTCTAATAAAAAAGAGATGGGATGGTACCCTGCTCCGATCATTAGTCAACCTATCCTCTCGGAATCTGCGTGTATTTAGTGAAAACGAGGGGAACAGAAGTATGCTTCAGCTTTCGGGAAAGTTTAATAAGCTCTCATTTTTCAATTCCCATTCCGTTACCAGACTTGAAAGCTAGTGATGTTCTCTATTGAGAAGGTAACGTAAGAGTACTGAGCAGAAGAGATGATACCCTTCCTTCAGAAGAGCTCCCAAACTAAGTAGTTTGTTGTGCCCAATTCCTGGTTGTCCAAAGCAATGTGGAATACACATTTATCCAGTATAAACTAATTTCATCCATTATTGACTTCCAGGCTCCCTCTAAGAAAATTCCTCAGTGAAGATAAAATATATAACCATCTTTTTTTTTTTTGGTACTTGCTGTGTTAAATATTTAGATTTGTATATAAGCAAATTATATAACTGATAATTCTTTATTACTAAAGGTTATTTACACATGTGTTTAAGGCACAATAAAAAATAAATTACAATACAAAAGTTATATTTAGGAAGAAGATACTGAACAACAGGGTCATATTAACCCCTGAATAATATTTAGCCAAGACACAAGCTACGAGTTTTACTGGAAAAGACTTTCCATGAGTTTTTAACCACTTCTTCATTACACTTACAGAATATCATCCAAGCCAACTGTTTGGAAAAAATATGTTATTTTCAAAGGTTGAATTATGGAGAAAAGTAGAAAATGTGAGTTAAAGATAGCATAAACCTTAAATCTAACTTTTAGTTTCAAAATTAAGTATTAAAACTACTTTTCAGTGTAATAGACAAAATAAGACAGGTACGGAATGAATTCAGAATCAAGGTTCATGTGTAAATTGTACCAATTATTTTAAAAATACTCAAAAAAAATCAAAGTTCAGCATGTATAAATACAGGTAACCCATCTGAAAATTCCAGTTTGTTAAAAGAAAGAACACTTTTGGCCCAGTCAATAAAACCCGAAAATATTAGACTATAAAGATGGGGGAGAAGGGCAACTAAACTTTCAGAAGTTTTGTACATTTTGAATAAATGCTGCTATAGCTTAGGTTTGTAAAGACACTGGGGAGATTAAACACTTTAAAAAGCACTCTTCTTTCTGAAGCCCACTTAAAAAGTTTGTTTTCTCTACTAGTATAAAGGAAAAAAACAAAGTTAGTTTCATATTGTTAGTTTTGGTATTTCTTTGCCCCATACCAAATCTTCCCTCCCACAAAGTAAGGAAGTAAACTAAAGCAAAATAAAATAAGATAAAGAAAAGGAGAAAATAAATAATATCATACAGTTCTCAGAGCTTTTTATATAACATTGTACAAAATTATCATCACTTAAGGTTGATTTTTTTCACCAGCCCTAAATTTTTACAGTCATAATTTACTATTTCAGAATCCTCCCATGTAACTGCTTAATGATTCCATTCTTCAAGTGAGCATAGATTTTGCTCTGTTGTTATAAAATAACTGAGTAGTAGTAAGCTAAGCAGCAGTCACTGCTCATGAAAAACCTGCATTATGGGTTGTTTTTCACAACACAGAAAAAAAAGGTGACAAGTAATTCATCCTGGGGTGGCACTTGTCAATCTACAAGCATTTATAAACTTTTCTAGCTACTCTGTAATTTAGATTTGTGCTATTATAAAACTTGGATCAACAAAACAAAAAACAAACATCATCTGGGATACTGAAAGAAAGTTAATAAAACAAGATGTGTCCCATCCTTAAGGATAGCCACAAAAAAATCAAATTGTTCTTTAACAGTTTGAATTTAAGATTTCCTGTTAATCAATCAAAAATAGCTGGGAGAATTAGCTCACTTTTAATTAAAAGTGAAAAGGAAAGAGTAAACACATTAACTTTAGTAGCAAAAGTACTACTCTAAAGAAACTAACATGTTAAAGGAAATGTCGTGACAGACACGTTGGCTTTCATCTCATTGGATACCAATGTATGTGTGTACAATTAATCATCCACAAGGAGTGTCTAAGGGCAAAAATATAGCTTCTTAGTACAAAAGGCTAATAATGAGCATTTGAAAAATATTTGCACTTTGAAATTAAATAAAACCTTAGTAATAGTTTGTGTGTGAGTCTGATATCTGCTCAAAAGGGCCCTACGCCAGCTCCAGAGAGATGTTGCTCCTCGAGATGGTTATGTACAGCAGAGCTGGTTGGAAGCCAGGTCACAACTGGAAAAGCCAAAGAAATCTTCCATTAACTTCAACTTATCCTAGGGTTCTTGTTCTTGGGAATCTTCAGCTTCCTGAAATATAAAAGCTTAAATGGGTAACACATTTGGGAAGAGTGCAGAGAGGTACCTGGAGTTACAAACTAAATATATATTATTAGGCATGTTCTCCACTGTGATGGAAAATATTCTTAATGTACTTGTTCTCCTCCTAATTCACCTTTTAAAATGTGTTTCTGATCCTTATATACTTCTCAGTATCAGTATCGTGAATTCATAGCCTCTGCCTTCCATGGATATTTGGAAGACCCGTAGCGCACGCACACACATGCATGCCTTCTCTTTCTCTCTCTCTCTTTCTCTCTCTCTCTCTGTCCTCTTTTATTATAAATAAAATCAAGCACATAGAAAAATAGAAAAGACAGTGTTTAGAATTTACCCATCATCTAATTTTAAAGCATTTTTTGCATTATTTGCCATATACTTATTTGGTTTTTAATTTGTTACATATAAGCATATATAAATTTATATCTAATAAATGTATATTACATATAAATGTATACTTAAGATAGGGACATTTTTCTCTGTAACCATAATACTTTTATTATACCTAATAAAATTAACAGTAATTCCCTAATATTATCCATATTCAAACTTTCAAAGACTCCCATTGTCCCCCCCAAATCTTCTTACAACTGGTTTTTTCAAACCTAGTATCCATCCAGTGAGGACATCCAGTCACACTGCACTTGATTGTGTTAGTTCCTTAAATTTCTTTTCATTTCCATCTTCATTTTCCATGACCCTGACTGTTAGACCCTTTCGGTATCCTAGATGATGTTTGTTTTTTGTTTTGTTGATCCAAGTTTTATAAAAACCATATCTGCTTGGTTTTAAAAAGGCAACTGCCCTCAGTAAAATCTCTCTCTGATATCAAGTTCTTCTGGTTTTACAAATTCTTCTGGTTTTACAATAGAATAATTTCTTTCCATATTCTGTTTTATAAATCCTTGAGGTCTTTCCCCGAACATTAGGCTACAAAAATGTGACTCTTTTTGCAAATAATAATAGTGGACTTATTTCAGAAAATAGAAAAAATTCTGATCAAACAAAAAATAAATCATCCTACCCTTTAAGCATAATAAACCTGAAAATGGGGGCACCTGGGTGACTCAGTGGGTTAAGCCTCTGCCTTCGGCTCAGGTCATGATCTCAGGGTCCTGGGATCGAGCCCCCCATGGGGCTCTCTGCTCAGCAGGGAGCTTGCTTCTCCCCTCTCTCTCTGCCTGCCTCTCTGCCTACTTGTGAACCCTCTGTCTCTCTGTGTCAAATAAATAAATAAAATCTTTAAAAAAAACCCTGAAAACGGGAAAATAAAACTATACAGTACTAAAATTAGATTCATAGTTCCAATAACTAGATGAATGGAGTTGAAATCAATTCCAAGTAGTATAAAAGTTCTGTCAAAATGTCAGACATATCTATTGAGTCATTCTCTTGATGCACGATTGGTTTACAACAAAATAAAACAAGCAGATATCACTTCTTTCATTTAAAAAAATAAAGATTTATTTACATGTTGAAAGTGAATTATTCTTGGTCGTGGTAAACATACCCACAAACGCTTGAATAATCTTAGAATTCTCCCATCTTCAATGGTCTAACAGCCTCATCCTTTGCACAAAACCCAAAGAGGAAGCTGTCCATAACACTAGTAGAAGACTTATATCTCCCTGACCCGGCTCCTCCAGTTTCATGCAGGAAACACCTAACAGTCCTAAAATCTGGGAGATCCACATTAGATGTGGGCCAGACGAGAAAGCTAAGGAAAGAAATCAACTCATTATGAGCCTCACCATCTAAGAATGTTAGTCTGTGTCTTCTAAATAAATGGAGACCTTTTTGTCTTGATTGAGCCTTTCCTCTTCTTTTCTGTAACAAAGAAGTAGAAACCAATGTCAGGTGAAAATTATAAGAAGCAAAGGAGGCAAGTCTTAGAAAGCAAGCTCCGGGCGATGTATTTTCTCCCATATTTTGGAAAGCATTACCTGCATCTGGGAACAGATCCAAGCTTACAGAAAGCTACACCACTAGTGCCATCTATCTAATAATACACATGCCTCCACATGACCCTGGGTCTCTGAACTTCTACATGCCTCAGAATACTTTTAGATGGGAACCTGAAGGAGGTAAAGCAGACACCTTAGTTTATCATTAGTATCCGGCCTCTAATTCCATTCCTTATTCAGAAAAGAAAAAAGAAAAAGTTCTGTGTTGACCTAAAAGCCATCTTTATTGCTTTGTGGTCAATCTCTAATGTCAGAGTTGGCTTCATTGGGCATCTTAAAATCAATTCTTTTTACTTCAGTAAATATTTCTTTAGGAAAAGAAACAAACAGTGCTGGGAAAACTGAAAAACTGCAATTGCAAAAGAATGAATTTGGACTCCTACTTTACTCCATATACAAAAATTAACTCAAAGGACACCTGGGTGGTTCAGTGGGTTAAGCCGCTGCCTTCAGCTCAGGTCATGATCCCGGGGTCCTGGGATCGAGCCCCACATCGGGCTCTCTGCCCAGTGGGGAGCCTGCTTCCCCCTCTCTCTCTGCCTGCCTCTCTGACTACTTGTGATCCCTGTCAAATAAATAAATAAAATCTTAAAAAAAAAAGAAAATAATCATAAATCTTCAGGACCTTAGGTTAGCCAATGGTTTCTTAGGTATGACACCAATAGCAGAAGCAGCAAAAGAAAAAAATTGATGATTGGGACTTCATCAAAATTAAAAAGTTCTGCGCTTCAAAGGACATGAAGAAGAAAGTGAAAAGGCAACCCACAAAAGACAAACCCAACTTGTAAATAGGCAAAATGTTTGAATAGATAGATCTCCAAATAAGATATGCAAATGGCCAATAAACACATGGAAGGATGCTTAACATCATTAGTCACTAGGAAAATGCAAATCAAAACCTCAGTAAGATACCACTCTACACCCAGTAGGTGGCTATAATCTAAAGGTCAGACAACAAGTGATGTCAAGGACACGGACCAGTTAGAAGCTCCTATGTTGCTGGTAGGAGTATACAATGATGTAGCTGTTTTAGAAGACAGTCTGGCAATTCCTCAAAAAGGTAAACATACAGTAACCATATGTTCCAACAATTCCAGTCCCAGGAGAGTTGAAAACACATGTCTATGCAAAAATTTATAAATAAGTGTTCATAGCAGCATTAGTCATATTGGCCAAAAAGTAAAAAACAAACTAAAAGTCCATCAACTGAATGGATAACCAAGTGTGGTATGTACATGCAGTGGAATATTATACAACCATAAAAAGGAATGTAGTACTTCTACTACTATATGCGCTACGTGGATGAACCTAAAATATTATACTAAATCAAAGAAGCAGAAATTAGAGGCCACACTGTATGATCATCCATTTACATGAATGTCCAGAGTAGGTGTAGGAATGCTGGCCATGCTGACTCTATCTTTGACCCACCATCTTATTGTAGTCTCCTTGATGACCTCTTCATCGCTACACGTTCTAGAGTAATGCATAAGATGTAATGTAAAAGTTAAATGTGGGGCGCCTGGGTGGCTCAGTGGATTGGGCCGCTGCTTTCGGCTCGGGTTGTGGTCTCCGGGTCCTGGGATCGAGCCCCGCATCAGGCTCTCTGCTCTGCAGGGAGCCTGCTTCTCCCCCCACTCTCTGCCTGACTCTCTACCTGCTTGTGATCTCTCTCTCTGTCAAATAAATAAATAAAATCTTAAAAAAAAAAAAAGTTAAATGTGAAAACTCCATACTCAACATTCCAAAACCAGAATATCCAGGGAGCCTGTTCTGGATTTCAACGGCCCCACTAAGATACTGGTGCAGATAACGAGTTTTCTACAGAGGCACAGGAAGTGCCAGAAAGTCTGTTAAACGTTAGCAACCAATCACGTGTATATGACACTCCCCCACATGTCCCGCTCCTTTAAAACCAGCAAATGAGGGTCACCTGGGTGGCTCAGTCAGTTAAATGTCTGCCTTCAGCTCAGGTCAAGATCCCAAGGTCCTGCTTCTCCCTCTCCCTCTGCCTACCACTCTGCCTACTTGTGCTCTCTCTCTTTGTCAAACAAACAAACAAATAAATAAAACCAGCAAACTAAAACGTGGGACTTCTGAGGAGACTACGTGTGCAGCTGTCCAGATGGCGGTCCTCTCGACCCCCCCATCAGTAATCACTCAACATAAAACTCGGTGTATTCTTTATGGGGTTGCCTACTTCATTAATGTTTCAAAGTGCTTCCTCAGCTTGGGGGGCACTCTACATTCTCCTCACCTTTGAACAATATGCATATCCACAGAAAGATTAGTAGCTGCCACCAGCAGGTGGAGGGGACAATGGTAATGGCTAACAGGTATGGAGTTTCTTTTGAGGGTGCTGAAAATTCTGGCATTAGTGGTGATGGTCACACAACTTTGTGAACATTAAAAACGTGAATATTTATGGAAGGTCAATTTCATCTCAAAAACTATGAATTTATTGGGGCGCCTGGGTGGCTCAGTGGGTTAAGCCGCTGCCTTCAGCTCAGGTCATGATCTCGGAGTCCTGGGATCGAGCCCCACATCGGGCTCTCTGCTCAGCGGGGAGCCTGCTTCCTCCTCTCTCTGCCTGCCTCTCTGCCTGCTTGTGATCTCTCTGTCAAATAAATAAATAAATAAAATCTTAAAAAAAAACAATGAATTTATTGATCACCTTCTATCAGCATGGCTGCCTTTCCTAGACACTGATTTGACCCCTGCTGACTGCCCAGTGGTCCTCACAAAAATGTACACTTTACATTAAAAGTAAGGAATAGCCTAGAAAAGTTTTATGTAAGCAGATTCTGATAATATCAAATCCTCCATAATAAAGCCTATAACGAAATCTTCCTTATCATTAAGAAAGCTTTTGTAAAGTTACTAAATCACACCCTAATTTATCCATCCTGTGAATTTAAATTTTTTACAAGACTTACTCAGAGGGAAGAACATCTGTTCAACAATCATTAAAATACCAAGAGTCATGATAGAAGAGTGTTAGAAGACTTCCCAGAACTTCCCAGCCTTACGGTTTTATCTCCATCACTTTATGAGCTCTCTCAGCCCATCGTTTCTTCCGGAAATGCTGGACGAGGACCACCACGATTACGATTATGACCATCAGTGCACAGGCAGAGCCAATGGCCAGGGCCAGGAAATAAATCTCAGAGAAGCGGACTGTAAGGAGAAAAGGCGGATCTCATGTTTCTAAAAAGAGAAGGGACGTGATGAAACCTAAAGCGAGAAGAAGGATGTATTTTCACCACTAAATGGAATCTTCCTTTCTCCTACAGTATGACCATGTGACTTCTAGGAGCAATAAGCAAACCACATGAATTACTTTAGTGATTCTCAAACTACGGTGCCAGGAGTAGCAGCAGAGCGCTCTTAAGAACTTTAAAATGAAAATTATCAGGCGCCTGCTGAATGGCGGGGCGGGGCCCAGCAATCTGTTTTAACAAGTCCTCCAGGTGATTCTGCTGCAGCCTGAAACTTCCAGAACCACCGAGCCAGTTGAACCACTTTGTGGGGTAAGGTTAGTGCTGACCTCATCAAACCCAGAGCCGTTTCTCCTCGATTCCCTCTCACCCCTGGCATTCAGTCAGTCATTGATTCCAGCTTATTAAGGACCTACTATGTTCAGACACTGCAATGGAAATACAAAGCCAAAAAAGGCATTACCTTCAGGGAACTCTTGCCCACCCGGAGGATAGGCAAGTTAATCAGTAACTATAGTCTAGAAATAGTAGATAAAGTGTAGATAAAATGATGCAAGAGGGAACCCAGAGGGAAAGGTCCCTAAACCAGGCAGAACCTGTGAAGCCTGGGTCTCTTGGCTTTTAGTCTGTTTTCTGATTTAAGCTTCAGTAAACCCAGGGTGCCTGGGTGGTTCAGTCCGTTAAGCATTTGCTTTCAGCTCAGGTCATGATCTCAGGGTCCTGGGATGGAGACCTGAGTCCCTGCTCAGCGGGGAGTCTGCTTCTCCTTCTCCCTCTGTGCTGTAAAATAAATAAAATCTTTTTTTAGGGGTGCCTGGATGGCTCAGGGGGTTAAGCCTCTGCCTTCGGCTCAGGTCATGAGCTCAGGGTCCTGGAATCGAGCCTCACATCGAGCTCTCTGCTCATCGGGGAGCCTGCTTCCCCCTCTTTCTCTGCCTACTTGTGATCTCTCTGTCAAATAAATAAATAAAATCTTTTTTATAAAATATTTGTTTAAAGGGTTGCCTGGGTGGCTCAGTTGGTTAAGCATCTGCGTTCAGCTCAGGTCATGATTCCAGGGTCCTGGGATAGAGCCCTGCACTGGGCTCCCTACTCAGCAGGGAGCCTGCTTCCCCTCTCCCTCTGCCTGCAGCTCTCCCTGCTTGTATTCCCTGTGTCAAACAAATAAATAAGATCTGTTTTAAAAATAGCTTTTTAATTAAATAAATAAACTTCAGTAAACCCTCAGTGCCAGAAAAGACATTAGAAAAAATGTCTATACAAATAAAAAATAAAAGTAAAATTAAAAAAAAAAAAGAAAAATGTCTAGCCCAGGGGTTCCTGGCCTGGAGTCCATGAAGGAGGATGGGGAGAAAGGGGGGCCGCAAGTCCACAAACTCCATGTCATATTATGTGTATGTGTACATTTTTGAGGGAAGCAGAGTTGCAGATTTCATTAGATTCTCAGAGCAGTGATCACCGTATGTTTAAGAACCACATGTTCTTGTCTAACCTGTTCATGCAGGTTAGAGGCAGATGAATTCAGAAACTGAGGTCCCAGGACATTCTATTACTCCTTTCAGTATTCAAATGACTTCTCCAAGGTCACAGAGCTCTATTGATGGGGCCCCAAGGATGATACTAGGAATGAAAGGAGGAAAAACCCTACCACTTTACAGGCTTATATATTTTGGGTAGTAATATTATGTGTTGGTTAAGAGCATGCACCAGAGAGAATTAGGTCCAGATACCAGCTCTACCATTTGCTAGCTGTGTGATTTGGGGTAATTAACTTATTTGAGTCTCAGTTTCTTCAAGGTATTAAGCAGGGGTAACAATATCCATTTCTTGAGTTCTTTTTAAAAAATCTATTCCTGGGATGCCTGGCTGGCTCAGTCAGAAGAGTACACAACTCTTGATCTCAGGGTTGTGAGTTCAAGCCCCACATTGGGTGTAGCAACCACTAAAATAAGTAAACTAAAAAAAAAAAAATTGTATAAATTTTTCCATGGTGTGTCTACACGTAATAAACACTCAATCTGTGGTCACTATTATCATTTTCAATGCAAACATATTTTATTCAGTGCAGGTGAGAATCTAGGGAATTTTTACATCTATTACATCTATTATCTCATTTTATCCTCACCATAATCCTCGCTCTATTATTCTTAGTGTAAGGAGAGAAAGAAAAGATTTATTGACAGTTGGTAAATGATAACAGTGGCTCAAACCCAGATTTACAGCTCTGAAGTTTTATGGTCTTTGCTTTTTATTATCTGGCTCGGTTCCCGGGTTTGCCTTTACAGGATTGCAAGCGATACAGTGCATTCATACAGCTTTGGAGTTAAAAGATGCTTGGGTTTGAGTTCTACATGGCTTGGGTTTGAGTTCTACATGAATCTGGACAAGTGACTTAATCTCTGGGAGCCTCAGTTTCCTCATTAGTAAAATGGAGAGCACTGAGAGCACAATAAACTGATGTGATATATAAAGATGGAAATATGCAAAACCCTGGCATGTTGCAGGACTTAATAAAGGAGAGCTTTCGATATTGGTATGTGCCGCCTGGCATGGTCCTATGAGTTAAATGAGCTAGTGTGTTGGGGCACGTGGGTGGCTCAGTGGGTTAAAGCCTCTGCCTTCGGCTCAGGTCATCATTCCAGGGCCCTGGGATCGAGCCCCGCATCGGGCTCTCTGCTCAGCGGGGAGCCTGCTTCCCTCTCTCTCTGCCTGCCTCTCTGCCTACTTGTGATCTCTGTCAAATAAATAAATTAAATCTTTAAAAAAAATGAGCTAGTGTGGGTCCAGTGTGGGACAGTGCCTGACACAGAGTAGGTACTCAATACATATCTGGAGAATAAATGAGTGAATGAACAGATCTGATGTTAGCCTTTTACCAGAGAATTGCTTCCTTTCCGTTTTACAGTCTCAATGCCATTTCTGTAACAGATTCCCTCCTCAGTTTGCTTAACTCTGTTTCTTTCCACAGCCAAACAAAGCCTTTCTCTTTTTACCCCTCAACTCCTCACTCTCCCTCTGTAGATTGCGGATCTGAAGGGCTAGCCCCGCTCTCCACCCTTTTAGCCATCACAAAAGATTACCCCTCTCTTTTCAACATGCTCTCACCCTTCCCCAGACAGTTCCCCACCAACCCCACACAACCTACCAGTGTGCACGACGCTGAGCCGAATCTCTCCTATCAGCCCATCAACGTCAGGTGGGTTCTTCACCTGGCAGGTGTATGTCCCATTGTCATCAAACTGCAGCTTCCACAGGATGATGGAGACGTCATACCGCTCAGGGTTCCCGTCCCACACCACCCGATCCTTGAAACGCCCGCTCATGGGTTTGAAGGGATCCACGTGGTAGTAGAATACCTAGAAGGCAGAAGCAGCCAAAAGTCTTCTTCAGTACGTGGGCAAGAAGGCTGAGGTGGAGTTAGCCCGACTCACTGCCCCATCTGCAGCTCTCTGCCTAGAATCTCCTGCTCTCAGGGCGCCTGGGTGGCTCAGTCGTTGAGCGTCTGCCTTCTGCTCCAGTCATGATCCCGGGTCCTGGGATGGACCCCAGCACTGGGCTCCCTGCTTGGCGTGACGCCTGCTTCTCCCTCTCCCACTCCCACTTCTCCTGCATGTGCTCTCTCTTGCTCTCCCACTGATGGACCTCGTAGTTCTGTCTCTGTCCCAAGAATTGTTTCTCAGCTTTGCCCTGCACTTGTTGCTAAGAAAAGCAAAGGGAGGGCGAGGAGAAACAAACTGGCTTATTCTCCCAACCAAGGTCCCCTGGCCAATGACAATAATCTACTTACAAACTGCTCAGGCCCCCCATCTCGAGGCCGGAAGTTCCAGGTCACCGTCAGAGCATCACCCACGGGGGCAAAGCTGGAGAAAGTGCACTTTAACCGAACATCTGTCCCATTGACAGCCTCCAGCGCTTGGGAGGTGTAAATTTCCACCGCAGCTATCGGCCAAAGGGCTGCCGCCAAGAAAAGAAAAAGGGAAGATGTGTATTAAGAGAATTTCTGGGAACACTGCCAAAATAAATGTCCGAGCGAGGCACGAAACCAGAGATGCCCCAGCTCTCAAACTTACTTCATCCTGAGTCTGCATACTCCCACCTACGTGCCCCTGGGACCTTCCCGTGCCGTAGAACAACTAAGAATACCACTCAGCGAGCCTTCTTAGTGCCCTCACTTTCTCCACGGCACCGTACCCCAGCCTCGGGGTACCCCCTCCAAGCTGTTCTAAGGAACTACAGATGTCAGTAAATAAAATTGAAAGCAGAAACAAACAAATCAAAACTAATCATAACATGAATCAGACATAGATTCAGATTAAGCATTATGTAGCGTGTGAATCATGGTCCCCTAGAAGTTTTCCGGACAGGGTCCTTCTTACGTCATGATGTCATACTGTTGGTAGCCTTCTGCGGAAACTGAGTTCATCAACCCCCGCCAGCTTCTGCTTGCACCCCTGGAACGTCTATACCACATGGCTTTTTTTGGTTTTTTGTTTTTTGGTTTTTTTGTTTGTTTGTTTGTTTTACCATGACATTTACACTGAGAACTTGCACGTTGGGGCAGTTTCAAAATTACGGAGGGGGAGGGGAGGGTCCTCTCTCCTTAAATTCTCTGCTTTTCCAGGGCTGCTGCGAGTCCCCGATGAGACTCACACACAGAAATCCTGGTGCCAAGTCTTGCCTGCAGTGGGAGGTTGAGAGTAGCCAGACGGAAAAAAAGAAAAAAGGCTTGTAACCTGAGATTAAAAAGCCCTCTCTGTGCGGGAATCACCAGCCGCCAAAACACGCCTAAACCTGTTTGTCCAAAATCAGTTCTCCAAAACAACCCACCAACTTCAGTTTTCAGTAAAGTCAAAACCAGAACGCACAGCCACTGTGGCTCAGGCTCCCCCACAAAGCTCTTGCGACTTCGGAGACACTTAGCTAACTCTCTGGGGTAGGCAGGGAAGGAGCAGAGGCTGAGAGAAGCCCGCCGGCCCTTACCTGTGAGCTGTATGCCAAGGAGAAGCAGCCCAGCACGCGAAGGGCTCTTGCCATACATGAGGGAACCCAGCCCTGGCCGCGGAGACCAGACCGGGCAGACCGAGGGCTCCAGCAGCCTGCCAAGGCCACTCCGGTAAGAACAGAACCGCGCTGCTCCCCGGAGAGAAGAGCCAGCCCCTCACCTACTGGGAGGCTGAGCTCCAGTGCCTCTGACTCACCCCTGCTCCGCTGCTGCACTTTGCTGGAATGATAGGTGGGGCCTCAGCTCCCTACTGCCCTCCTCCTTTCCTCCCTCCCGCCTTCTTTGCTACAGGCAGTCCGCACTTCGTTCCAAACCCTGCAGTCCACTCTCTACTTTCCAGTTCCTCTGATGGGGTTCTGGCTTCTGGATGGCCTCAGAACCAGCCATAGGATGTGATACCAATCTGGAACGTCCCAGGCTGCTTTGGGTCTGGCCCCACACACACCCCGGTTTTTTCTAAGCGGGCTTCCCGCTGGCCTGGGAAGTGATTGTTGAAATCACCTCGAAATGATTCCGCTTCCCCAGCACCTCCCTGGGGCCACGGGAGCCTAGACCGGATTCCCGACTCCAAAGCACTCCGAATGCCTTAAGGCCCTCTCCGACAAAAAGTCCTCCAGTTTATACCCTCAGTTTTTAGTCAAACATTAGCACAAGGATCTCTGTGCCTTTTCTAGTTTGTAGCTTTCTCCAGACACCCACCTAAAATAAACCGGCCCAGACAAATCTCCATGTTTAATGATGCTTTCACTTTGAAGAACTTCAAGAAGAAGCAGGACAACAACCTTGCCCATGTAAGCTACTAGCTCAACCCAGTTCACCTCCCCAATATTCCCATGAAGTGTTGTTAAGAGGATACTAAGAGCCCAGAGAAGGTAAGTGATTTGCCCAATGTTGCACAGCTGGTAAAAACCAGAACTTTTGTGACTCTTAAGTCTAATGCTCTTCCTGCAAAATTACACCCAGCATGAACCATGGACGCAGAGGACTCTCAAGGAAAAAGTTTTCATAATAACTTTTCTGTGCCTCAGATTTCATCTGCCATTTTTAGGGCAGCCATCTGCCTAAAAAATCTGGAGAGCTGAGGAATTTAAATGAGAAAAGGTGCCTCCTTGTCTGGAAAGAGGGTGGCTAATTGTGACAGATCAACGAAGCAGGTCTCGAAACAGCCCCAGAAGACAAACGAAGGTTACACCTTGAATGAAGAAGCAGCTTGAGCAGGAATCTAACCCTGAGCAGAAAAGAATTACCCTAATCCCCGGGTTAGCAACCTAGATAGAAACTGAGGATTCCTCGTTAAACCCTGGAGCGGGGAAGTGGCCAGAAAAGGGAGGAAGGGACAGGCTGACTGGAAAAGATAAAACTTCATAAAGAGGGAAGAAAATTCCATCAAGGGAGAGGCAGATTACAGAAGTGGAAAAGAAAAGCCAAAAAAGAAAAGAAAAGCAGAGGCGCCTGGGTGGCTCAGTCGTGAGGCCTCTGCCTTAGGCTCAGGTCATGATCCCAGGGTCCTGGGATCAAGCCTTGCACTGGGTTCCCTGCTCTGTGGGAAGCCTGCTTCTCCCTCTCCCACTCCCCCTGCTTGTGTTCCCTCTCTCGATGTCTCATTCTCTGTGTCAAACAGATGAATAAAATCAGAAAAAAAGAAAGAAAGAAAGAAAGAAAGGCAGGCAGGCAGCAGGAGAAAGATGTCATGACCCTAGAAGGAAGGAAGGGAGGGAGAGAGAGGGAGAAAGGGAGAGGAGGGAGGGAGAGAGAGAAAGGGAGAGGAGGGAGGGAGGGAGAAAAAGGGAGAGGAGGGAGGGAGGGAGAGAAAGTGAGAGGAGGGAGGGAGAAAGAGAAAGGGAGAGGAGGGAGAAAGAGAAAGGGAGAGGAGGGAGAAAGAGAAAGGGAGAGGAGGGAGAAAGAGAAAGGGAGAGGAAGGAAGGAGAAAGGGAGGGATGGATGGATGGAAGGAAGGAAGGAAGGAAGGAAGGGAGGGAGGAAGGAAGGAAAAGAGAGAGAGAAAGAAAGAGAGAAAGAAAAACAGTGAACAACAAAAAACAGTTGCTAGAATAAAGAAACCCAGGGGCTACCCCAAATGAAGACCAGCGGTGTCTTAGCATGAATGTTTTATTAAGGTGAGTGTTCCTGAAAATAGAGTGGCTCCTTTGTCAGCTTCTAAGTCAGAGATCAACCAAAAATCAGCATGCTGGGGAAAATCTTAAAAATGGTGATGGGATAAAATAGAGACTCTGGAGTATGTAGGTCTGTAGAGCTCAGCTGCAGGAGCCTGAAAGAAAAGGGGTGAAAGGGCACCTGGGTGGCTCAGTGGGTTAAAGCCTCTGCCTTCAGCTCAGGTCATGATCCCAGGGTCCTGGGATCGAGCCCCACATCGGGCTCTCTGCTCGGCAGGGAGCCTGCTTCCTCCTCTGTCTCTCTCTCTCTGCCTGCCTCTCTGTCTACTTGTGATCTCTGTCAAATAAATAAATAAAATCTTTAAAAAAAAAAAAAAAGGAAAGGGGTGAAGGAAACGTGATCCTCTTTGTTGGCTTTTAACTTGCAGAGAGAAATGCAGCTCTCAAGGAAGGGGGTAGGTAGAGCCTGAGGTTTTGAAGTCTAGGGCAAACTGCAAAATTTGGTGAGAGGTAGAGTTACCAAAGACCTCAAGGACACAGAGAAAAGCATCAGGGGAGGAATCAGGGCAGGCAGCCTCAACAAACTGCCTGTTGTCTGGAGCAGAAGAATCTCTCCCCCAGGTAGCCAGATGCCCTGGGAGCTGGCTGCCAGCCCTGCTAGGAGGGTCAGCAGCCGCCCAGATCCCATTCTTCAGCAGAGTTCAAGTTCCGGGCTTTGTGCCCAGCAACGCCCAATTCCTTCCTTCCAGTGAACGGGAGTGGCTCCAGAGTCACCCAGTTCCCCTCCTTGGGAGGGGAGGGAGGAGACCAATGGCTAGACTCCTTGTCAAGAAAACACTTGAGTTAAGAAAGACATTTGCCCCTGAGTCCCCAGGGTGCCCGTCAGCGGGGCTATGATCAAAACTGGAGGCTTCTAGGTAAGGTCTAAAATGCACTTAGTCTCTAGGCAAATGGGAGAAAAGGAAGAAGAGAAAAGTTTCCAGAAACATCACTTTTTTCCTAAACTTTTCCAGAGAAAAATCCTGATTTTTGTTAAAATGGATGGCGTACCAATGGTTTTGAAAGTACCTCATCTGTCCCAACTGCCTACACATTTCCCAAAAATATTTCCTTTTTTCTTTTTTCTTTTTTTAAGATTTTATTTATTTGAGAGAGCGAGAGAGAGTGAGAAAGCATAAGAGTAGAGACGGCCAGAGGGAGAAGCAGACTCCCTGCGGAGCTGGGAGCCCAGGATCATGACCTGAGCTGAAGGCAGATGCCCAACCAACTGAGCCACCCAGGTGCTCCCAAAAATATTTCTAATGGGGTACCTAGAAACCCACTGGGGAGGAGGAAACGCACCGGGGTGGGGGGGCTCAAAAGACAAGAAGGACAACTCAGTATTTGTAAAAGTTGTCTTGTTAACATCCAAGGCAAAAATGTGGTTTTTCTCACAAGATGAAATCACCAAGGGAAACAAATGATTTAGCTCTTGGGTGGTTCAGATAAAGTGTCTGTTTACTCAAAACTTCCTGTCTGCATGTTTCCTTATTAGGAAAGATTATATTTAATTTTTGTTCTATGTCAGGCAAGACATAAAGTAGAGTAAGACTTTTCTGCCTGGGGAGAAAAATTGGAGTCCAAAGAAGATTGGGAGGTACAGTGTGTATGTTAACAAATAATTACCATATTAGTGGAGAGAGAGAGTCAGGAGGAAGGGGCAGAGAGAATCCCAAGCAGACTCCACACCCAGCACGAGCCCGATGTGGGGCTCAATCTCATGACCCTGAGATCATGACCTGAGCCTACATCAAGCGTCAGACCTTAACCGACTGAGCCACCCAGAACTCCTGAAATGGGTCCTTAAAGGATAAATGAGAATTCTGGAGAGAGAGGAAAAACAGAGGTTCTCTTGTTGAAACAAACGGAAGGGGGCTAAGCAGGAAATATGGTCTCCACGGGACCTACAAATGATTTCTCAACCCAGTGCTCAGGGAGGAGTGGCAGGTCAGGAGGCTGGAAAGAGAGGCTGGGCCCAGATATCGACGGTCCTCATTCTCCATCCTGGGGAGTATGGACTCAATCCTGACAAATACACCATTTGGAGGTAACTAAGATACAACCCAAAAAGGGTGGAATTACTTTGATATTTACCAGACCAATAAAAATAATGAGAAAAAGCCTTGGGACCTCGACAACCGCACACTCAAGCGACTTTCTCATACACCCCCTGGCCTAAGAGCCAGAATTAAAAGTCCCAACTTAATACTCATTTGCAGAAGACACAGGGACTCCCAGACACCCTTACCAACAGCAGGGCCAATCCATAACTCCTTTGTTTCCTTTTTTTGTTTTCTAAACTTCTGGTGAGCTTCTCAAAGATGGGGGTTGGGGGAGAGCTAGGATGTCAGAGTCCCCGATGAGAGGGGGGCTCTCAGCCCAAAAGAAGTGGTATGTTCCCCTTGGTCCTCCTTCTTGACTTGCTCTCCCTAGAGATATTCCAAAGCCAAGTCTGGATTTGAGACTGAGCTCTAATAGCTTAGAAAAACCATGGGCGGGGGGGGGGGGGAACCATGGGAGGAAATGCCTTCCTATCTCTTCCCCCGCCTCTCCCCCAACCCATTCCTCCCACCTCCACCCCCACCCCATCACTGCAGCTTAGATACTCCCCAGTAAAGCCTTGGGCTCCTTTCCTAATTATAGAGGAGGGCATCCTGCTCTTATTAATTGGCCCACAGAAGCGACTGTGAAGTTTAACCCTTACTTTACTCTGAAGAGATGCTAGAGGGATTTGCACGGGACTGGAGAGATGGATGTCTTTGAAGATAACTGAAGGACCTCCCAGTTCACCGTAGGTACCACATTGAAATCATGGGTGAGAATTCATACCTGTGTCATGTTTACTGATGAATATAGCATCTTCTGGTTACCACGCCCAATTTCCACTCTTAGGAAATGAATTCATTTTCCAAGAAAAGATCCAGCCACTTGTTTTTTTTATTACTATGTAGTGGGAGACAGGAGGCCGGAGCTGGAATCCCATCGGCTTGGACCCAAATGCACGCTTGGCTGATGACCAGCTGTGAGGCCTTGGGCAGGTGTTTCACTTTCTGTGCCTCGACCGTGTCATATGCAAAATGAGACCAGTACTACCTGCCCAGAAGGCTGGGTGTAAGAATCTGATGAAATACTGTAATTAAACATACAGCTATACGCTCGGGGCCCATCAAAAACAGCAAATTTGGTTGTTTGTGATTAGACTTAGTTACGATATTGCAAACTGCTCCCATGACCACTTTGGGAG